ACTCCATGTCCTAAGGCATCTGTAAAAAGTGGACATGAGACTTGAAGAAGGTGGTACACATGCAGAAAAGCAAATGAGTAGCTCAGTTCCCCCCAAAATGATCCCAGAAGCAAAGTCCATTAGGAATCAACACTGCTTACCTTCTCCCCAAAAGGCCCACCGTGTGTAGGAATCCACACTGTGTTTTATAGGTTTCTCCTCTGTGGAATTCCAGTTTAACCTTCAGGGCTTGAATCTTTCTGGGCTATGAGCAGGTTAGCTGCTGATTGTGTTTCTTATACCTTGTTACATGACTGTCACTCTGATCAAGCACTTCTTTCACAGAATATCTACTCTTTTCTGGTAAATTCCTGGTTCCTTCAGGCTCACATTTGGCCTTTTCCTAATGTTAAAAACTTGTTTATACATGATGTCTAGATAAAATAGGAAAGGTATTCCAACATAATGTAACATTCCCCTCCTGTGGAACAAGAAACCCAAATCAGTGGGCTCATCAATACATGTGAAAACCGCAGTCAAGTACAAACAGTAAAGCTGAATTTTTATCTATGTTAAATTATATATTTAACATACTGCTGATCCAGTATTTACATAAAGGCTGCATTTTACTCAATTCTCTGGTAAACACTTGGAATCGCAAGTATGGATTTAAAGTATATAAGCAACTTAATACTCGTTAAATAGTGTATGCCCAAACACAATCCATACTAAACTAGAAATTCCTTAGTCTTAAATTAAGCTATTATAGTGGACAGCCATCAAGTGTTATTGAAGCAATCCTTGTTCTGTGTTATTCCAAACATCAAACAATCACCATGTTAGCATTAGGTAAGTGTCATAAGTCAATGTGAATCTTAAAAGACCCAAGAAATCAAAGCCAAATACAGGCTAAAACAATACTCCTTCACCACGAGGTTCTCAAACAGCATAGGAAGATAAAAATGTACATTTTAGTCTTTTGGCTTCAACATCTCCAAAAAAACATTTATTCTACTCTTAAAAAAACTGCAAGCCTTTGAAAAGCCAGTCCTAAAACACTACATACATAACTTAAGTTTTAAACAAATGACTCTAAATTGTAGGTGCACATTAGAATTGCTTAGAGAGCTTAAAAAAACACCAATGTCCAGGCCCACTCCCAGAAATTGTGATTTCATTGCTTTGACACAGGGCCCAGGCATTGATCTTTTTTTTAAAAGCTCCCCTAGTGATTCAAATATGCAACCAGGTGGAGAACCACTATACTTTAAACTAATACAGCCTTTTGGGACAATAACTGTTCTGAAGTTGATAAACATGCTTTTTGCCTTTTAATGAGATTTTATTAAAACTACTCAATTCATTCGATAGTTAATGAGTGTTAAATTATAGGCACTGTGATAAGTAATGGAGAAAGATGTGTAAGATATGCTCCCTGCCCTCAAGAAGCTACCTATTAGCTAGGTAGAGAGATCCATAAATAAGTAACTGTAATTAAATATGGTAAGTGCTCTCAAGGTGTAAGCAAATACGGCATGCTTCAAAACTTGCGTGTCATTCCTGAGCAGGGGTCATACTGCATCATTCCAATTTTAGTATATGTCCTACCAAAGCAGGAAAGTCAGAAGTTACAAGTTACTAAATTCCTTCCTAAGTATCAGGGCAAATATTCAGCCTACACAGGGTGAAAATGGTGTGCATTTTGCTATTCTCTTTCACAGAAACAGTTGTACCATGAAGGTAGGCATTTCTATGTTTTAATTTGGATGAATCATCTTAAAATTTCCTTTAACAAATATTACTGATTGTACACTTACCTATAAAACTATTAATCTGCAAAAGATACAATAAATGATCATGATATACACATTAGCCAATTACCTTTATAATATACCAATAATATCTTTTCTTTGCAGTAATTGCTATATTTGCTAAGATAAGAAGTTTTGGGACTAGGATAAGGTCCCATCATTGGAGATTTGTTTTAGTCACTTGAAAGATGTTACATGGGAAAATGTTATGGAAACAACAGGCATTCAAAGGAGCTTTTGTAAGACTTGCAAAAATAAGAGATGGCAGGCGTGGGAGGAATAGTTTAATTTAAAAAAAAGATATGGCATCGTCCCAATCATTCATAATAATTTAAGACATGATTCCCCTGAAAATAGTGGACAAGTGAGTGAGTAGATAAGTAGTGAAGTAGGGGAGGGGGTGTGCGGTCTACTGATCTTGACAAGTGAAAAACATTTGTAAGTACCTGGATAATTAACAAAAAGGTTTTCAGTACAAGTAAACATCTTCAAAGCCTTTCTGTTTAAATCCAGAGGTGAAAATTCAAAGTTAAAATGTATGCTGTCAAGTTCCCTGCAAGAAAATCTCAAGTGAATTTCAATTTCCAGATCAATATATGCTGAGACAATTTACCAGAGAAACTTCAACCTTTACACAGGGTGAGGAATACTATCATTACATTCTTTACCACGAAGGCTACCCTGAATTCATTATTTCATGGAATGACATATTATAAATGTCACCGACCAAGTCAGATTTTGTAGAATATGGTCAGGTTTTATAGAATATGAATGAGATTTCACATTAACAACAGTTAAGGTAGCCACAGAGTATCTATCATTTCAAAATCAGCTTTCTCTACCTCGTTATGCAGTTCTGAAGCAACAGAAGAGATGAATTTTGCTCTACCTGAGGTGTTCCCTGAAAATATTCTATTATAATAAGCAGAATACTGATTATGCTACTGTGATGATGACCACTTCTTTTCCATCCAAATCCAAAAAGATCACATCATCCCTCTTCTAGAACTTAAGGAATCAGAACTAGTTACTAACACTGATTCAATGATGCCTATATTCAGTCATCACAATATAATTAACATTTTAATCTCACATTTTCCAATTATGACTTTGCTGGCTCACTTGAATCAAATATAACTAAGACACAACAAATATCATTCACCCACCCCAACACAAAATAATTTGGGAGCTTTTAGTTAACACCTAATTTACTTTCACTGGGTGCTAAGAATGAAGAAATCAAGGAGGTTTTTGGGCGTATTTGTCTTTCTAGAACTGTGTGGTTCACATATGGCTATTGAGTACTTGAATTGTTGCTAGTCCAAGTGAGGAAGTGAATTTTGAATTTCATTTAATTTTAATTAACTTAAATTTAAATTTAGAAAGAGATACTCAATTCAGTTATTGGAAAACTTTAGGTATGTTTGGAACAACTTGGGTATGTGAATCTACTTTTGCAAATGCAAATTTTATGAAACTTAAATACAGATCAGGTATTACCAATGAAAATTTAGCTAAGTGTCAGAATTGAGATGTGTTTGTTAATGTAAAATACACTATTGTGTATTGGATTGGAAAGAGTACAAAAGAAAGGATGGAAAATACCTCAAAATTATCTATACTGATTACATGTTTAAATGACAATAGCTAGGATCTACTGGGCTAAATAAAACCTTGTATTAAAACTAATTGCACCTGTTTTTAAATCTTTTTATTGTGGCTATTAGAAAAATTACATATGCAAAATTTACATATACAAAATTACGTATGTGGCTGGCACTATCTATCTTTTGGACAGCACTGCTCTAGAGCACTTCCATAACCACTTTACCAGGGCACATTTGGATACCAGCCTTCTAGAAGACAGGCTGGTCATGTAACAATAGGGGCAAGGAGTAAAATGTCCTTGTATTAATTGGGTCTGAGGAACGTGTGTAGCAAGCTCTACCCACAATACTTCCAAGTGAGGGAACACTGTTAATACCTCAACATGAAAGGAAAAAAATGAGTTATCAGCACTTAACAAATTGAAATCCAGTATTGCAGACAACTTGAGAGAGCCAACTGCTTAACGTCTTGGTTTCCCAACTGCGGACCTTAAAATAGACAATAAAGCACGGCTTCCAAAAGGAAGTAAAATACTTCAATGGCAGCTATCTAACAACCCTTAATAAAAAGCAAATATTGTTCTTAACTCGTATCTCCTCAACTTCTAAAGCCACAGAATACACGCTGAACTAGGAAATCAACTTCTGATCGCCAGCGTTTCCCTCACAAGCAAATTAGCAGGCTTGTGCACTTCGAATACTGTTTGACAGGAATGAAAAGGAAACTATTCAAAACAGATTTAAGGATTGGACAATTAGATGAGGAACTGCAGATTTAATTCTCAATCAGGACTATGATTAATCTGATTCCCTGCTTTTCCCTAGTGTAATTATACAACACAGATGAAAGGAAGAGCATTTGGACTGTCAATTCTATATTCTAGACCAGCCCAGTGACTCAAAGCAGACTGCTCTACCACGCTAACCACCATCCCAACAACAGTCGAGGGAAGCCTCGAACATCGACTTAACAGTCATTGCATAACGAGGCATTAAAAGATCGGATACCCCCAACTCTTTCACGTTGGTGTACACCAAGTGAGGAATTTGCTGAAACTGAACGCACCCCTTCTCAAATGACCCCCTCCAATCCAGGCATGGGGTGAACACAAAGGCATCTATCTAATATCCCGCACAATAGACACACACCCCACAATTAAAAACCCTGGACGTTCTGTCTCTCTCTCTCCACGCAAGCAAAAGAAATGCAAGCTGCTCTTTTCGTTAATGGTCTGTGGTACACGCAAGGTAACAATAACCCCAACTGTTCCCAGGAAGCAACTATAAAATCTGTTCTGCCACGTCCCTGTGCAACCGTCAGATAAAATGCAGACAGCAGATTTCCGCCGGCCGCACGCCTCATGGGGTGGCTAACCTCGGCTCGGTGGCCTCCACGGATCGCTGAGAACCCCCCCCCCCCCAGGACCCCCGCCCCGCTGGAGGACCAGGTACTCGTCTATAAATTCTCCTGGGTGAGGAGGACGAGGGAGGCGGAGGGGAGGGAAGGCAGGGGACAGGCCCCAAGCGGGTAAGGGTGCGGGAGGACCCGGGCATCACTGTTATGCATTTTTCCACACTCCCGCTCCCTCGCGTGGAGACTCACTTGCCGATCACCTCGCACAGCTCATACACATCCTCGAACAGCACGTCGTCGTCGGCCATGGTCCGGAGGGGACAGCGGCCGCAGCGTGGAGGGCTCCGAAAACGGGGGTGGGGGCGCCAAAGAGCTCAGTGCCCGGCCCCTGGCTCGCCTCCTCCCCTCAAGACCCGCGAGCCCTCGGTGCTGAGGGCGCCCGAGTGGGGCTACGAGGCCCGCAGACTGCGGCTCTTTCCTCTGCGGGCGACCGCCCCGGCGCGGGCGGCGGGGCCGGGGCGCTGGAGCGAGGGCGGCCCGGGCCCGGCGCCGCCCGCCCGCCCGCTGCTCCTCGCGCTGCTCGGGCAGCGCCGCCCGGCGTGCGGATCCTGGGGGACCGCGCGGCGCCGCGCTCTCCGCTGGTCAGCCCACCCGGGCCGCGAGGCCGCGACCGCTCCCTCTGCCGAGGAGGGCTCCGGTGCGGCGCGGGGCAGCTCGGGCTACAGGGGGGGCCGCGGCAGGACCATAGAGGGAGGATCGCCGCGGAGGGAGGTGGCGGCGGCAGATCGGCGCTGGGGACCAGGAGGCGGCGGCAGAGACGCTCCCTCCTCCTTCTCCTCCTCCCGCCGCCGCCGCCGCCGCGGCCGCCCGCCTGGGAGTGGGAGGGGGCTTCGCGGGACTGGCTCTCCGTGCGGGCGGGAGCCGCTATCGCCGCCTTCAGCTCCTCCTCCTCCGCCCGGCCGCTGACTAGCTCCCGAGTCCCGCGCACCCGCCTCGCGCACACACGCTCTCCTCCCCCTACGGCCCGCGCGGCTTCCAGAACCCGAGGCCCCGCCCACTCCAGCCCGTCGGGAGGCGGTGGCCGAGGGAAAGGGAACGGGGCTGAGCGGCGCACGCGCGCGCCGATGGCCACGTCACGGCGAGCCGGCGGGCGTCGGGACTCTAGAGGGGGCGGGGGTTGCCCCGAGGGGCGCGCGGGTGGCAGCTGCTTAGGCAGGGACTGATTGGGTCGTCACCTCCGCGACCGAGCCGCGCAAGGGGCAGGCACTAAAGGTTCATGACCCAAAGCACGTTCTGGGCTATCTGCGGCGAGAGGTTCAGAACTCCGTCTGCTCCCCTCCACCCTTCTTTTGTAACCGCGGGAAGCCTTTCCCAGTTTTTGCTGGGGACCGAGGCTGGGAAAGGGTCCCGATGAATGGAAAGCGAGAAGAGATGTAGAGAGGTTGTCACCCGCAGACCGTGCTAGACGGCGGATGCTTTTTGTCACTACAGACTGTGCTAGACGGCTGTCATTCCTTAATGAAAATGAAGGCTTGGGAAGGGGAGTCGTCCCCCTACAAGAAAAGGATCAAACAAAAACTGTTAAGAAAGACGGACAACAACAAATGGCAATTTACAGAGGCATTTTCTCCCGCATTCTGCCTGAAACTCAACAAATATCTTTACAGCGCCCGCCCCTACTAGAGACAGCCTAGAGAGAGGTTAGGAACGCACAGAGACTATAGGTATGTATATTGAATATTGCCCCCCAGAAGCTCTCAGTACCTACTCTGCTCCCTAAATATTAGATATGTCTGGATAAAAATGCAACTAGAGGGAGTGGATGCACAGGGTCAGCCGGGAAGTGAGGTTCTGGGTGTTGCCGTTGTGCTAGGTTGTATTCAATATGAAGATTTCCGTTCAACTGAGCATGTGCGGAATGAGCCAACGCCATCAGACAGGTAAATGCCTCAGTTGAGGACCAATAAAAAAGTCTTTGTTCCTCTGCACAGCACAAGTGCCGAATTAGTTCATAAGTCAGCTTCTAGAAATCATCTGGTAAGATTCTCAGTGCGGTAATTAAAAGAAAAAGAAATAAATAGTATTTACCAAAGTGTGTGGTGTGTGTGTTGGGGGCCAGTGGAGACCCACAGCCTATTTTCTCTTCAGAAACGTTTTTTCAAACCTTTGACCACTCCCTCAGGGACCAAGAGATTTACCAGTGTTAAGGATTTGAGTATTAAACGATTTTTAAATGCAAGTCAGAGGAAAAATAAAACGGTATTTTTATTTTACCCAAATAAAATAAATTTCTCCTTTCCCAAAGAGCTTGTGCATTCTCTAGAGAAGGGAGCTTTAGAGCGTGAGAAACATCGCTTCCACTGAGTCCAACAGTTCCAAGTCACTCACCCTAAGTAGGCATGACTACCTGGTTCCTAATGAATAAGGTGCACTTCCTTCCGCCCTGAAGTGAGCAGCAAACCTCTCAAGTCACCTTGTCAGCTTCACTTCCTCTCACCAGCCCAAGTCTGGGCTATGCCAAGGCTTGTCAACTTCATTTTGGGGTTTGTTATCTTCCACAAGGGCCTATGCTCAGAGGTGAAAAAGAACAATTACAAAATAAAACAAAAGAAAGTGGAGTTGAATAAAAAAAAATTGACTATGAAGATAAGTCTGTACTCTGCTCACGGAATCACAGCCAGTTTAGATCTGGAAAAAGCCTTAGAGGTCAGCTAGTCCAACTCAGTCATTTACCGGTGTAGGGGATGTGGTGGTTGTTCTCTCAAGAGCCATTCCACCCCTCCACCATGGGGTAGCAGCTCTGGATTTAAGGTAGGATTGTAACCACATCGTCTGGAGAGGTGTGGGCCCTGATTTATTAGACTAATAAATGCAGTCCTTTGCCACAATGATTGGCATAATTTAATCAGCTTTTGGCATTCCTTGGTCAACTAACGACTTGAATGGTTCAGGGTCTTCCAATCAGCACGAAGCTCAGGAATCCCCCACCACTCCATGGCTGGGAAACACTCCCTTTCTCCCCATCCCACCCCCCAACCACAACACTGGCCTTGAATAACATGGAATGTAGCCTTAGTTGCTGCCATCAGACATCTTGTACCCATGAGGGTAGGCAGACCTAAGGTAAAGGTGGAACTGAAGGGCAGGAAGGTGGAGATGACCTCCGTGACATTATCAATCTCTTGTTTAGCTAATACTCTACACTGTCCAATTGCATAAGGTGATGAATTACCTTATATTGTTCAAGCCATTTTGAGTTGAGTTTTCTGTTTCTTTCAAAGAAAGCATCCTACAAATGGTACAACAGATGAAAAAACCAATTGAAAGACAAATATATGTCCACAGTCACATATTTAGCTGAACATCTCATCTAAACCTAGGTCTCTCTGCTCCCAGAGTGGTATTGAGTCCAACGGAAGTTCTCTGCAAGGCACAGGGCTCAGAACTTTTACCATGCATTGTGGCTAGAAGTAGCTCCTCTCTGGTCCTACAACTAAAATGACCAAACTTCTTAAATGAAGTTAATTCTTCTCTGGGTTTCTTCTAAAAATCCAAGTATTTTCCAACAAATAAGCCCGTATATAAATGGTCAGGTGTCAATAATTTAGTTCTGTTTTAGTTTTCACAAAGAAAATGTTAGATTGTGTTCATATGTTAATAACTGAACACTGTACTACAGTGGTTTAAACAAATGAGAGGCTTACCTTCCTCATGTAGCAAGGAGGCTGGAGGTCGGTGGTCACCAGCATAGGATCAGCTACTCAACAGTGTCTTCAGTGACCTAGGTTCTTTTTTTCTACTCTGCCATCCTTGACATGTTAGCTTCTCATCCTCAGGCTTGTTGCTTCATCATCACAAGGTGGCTGCTGCAATTTCCAACATCAAACTACATCCCAAGGCAGGAATCAGGAAGGCAGCAAAGGTAGGCAAGGCCATTTTGCTTCCTTTCCCAACTCTTATTAGGGAAAGAAAATATCTTTTTTCTCATCTCACTGTCCAGAGTGGAGTCACATGGCAACCCTCACCTGCATAGGAAGATGGGGGCATGAATATCTGACTTTCTTGCCTCCTCTTTGCAAGTAGGCAAGGGAGAAGTAGGTTAGGAGAATGCGCTTTGGTAGCCAATCAGCAGTATTTCCAATACCAGGAAAATTATCAATGAAATAATTCTGTATCTTCATCATAATGTAGATAAACCTTGAGTATATGACTGACAGGTCTTCAAAATTTCATAAACATCTGAAAACCCACAAGGATGGAGTTGGTGCTAGACAAATTTGATTCTCAGATGTCAGTGAAAATCTTCAATGACTTTAAGGTATTGGACTTTCCCACAATTTGATTAGACTTCTCAGGTTGTTGAGCTCCCACATAATTTCTTGGAGAAATATTAGCATGAGTACAGCAAAGAGATCAATGTGGTACAGGGTTTATAGGCTGTTCTGGGTTCAGCCTCATTCTGTAGCTATGACTGTTTAAGCATAGAAATTATTACTGAATTAATGAATAAAATTAAGAATGATACTATTCTAAACTGGAATAGTTATTGCCTCATGGTACAATCAGGATGCTGAAAGATACCAACAGTTCCTCCAGAAAAAGCTACATATACTAGACTTATACTCCAATATCATGTTTCATCATTTATTTTATATTCATTCAGTGAATGTCTATACTAGCCTCCGAGGCTAGAGCTACAAATAAGGCAGACATGGGCTCTACCCTTTCCAAGTCTTGTTCTAGAAGAAAACAAGTGTCAGGCAAGTAATTACAATGAAGAATGGTGGTTGTTAGGGTGTGGAAAGCACAGGGAGCAAACAGCAAGGAGACCTGTGGGTCAGGGAGGCCAACAGAAGAAATGTTGAAGCTAAGACTAAAGAAAGCATAGAAATTAACCAGATGAAAGGAGTGGGAGCCAGTTGATCCTAGGTAGACAGGACAGCATTTGTGAAGTCCTGGAGGTGAGCAAGAATATGCTCTTTTGGAAGAAGAACTTGCTCTTTTGGGGAAACAGGGAATGGCTGGATCATAGAGTGAAGAAAAGAAAGGTAGAAAGAAAGAAAAAGAAAGACAGAGAGAAAGAGAGGAAGGAAGGGTGGGAGGAAGGAAGGAGGAAAGGAAGGAAGGAAGGAAGGAAGGAAGGAAGGAAGGAAGGAAGGAAGGAAGAAGGTAGCAGAAGGCATCAAATGCCATTTTAAAGAGTACACACATTACAAAACTGCATATTTCAATGGCACTAGAGTTTTATGTGTAGACTGAGACCCTCAAAGCCCTGTGCATGAACAGAATTCTACTTTTAAGTAACTCTTCCCTTCACACTTGGTGCACACTGTCCACTCCCTTAGTTAGTTTTAAAATGCAGATCCTTCTGTATTAAATATAAAATCCCTCAAATCGTTGGAGCAGGCACTGTAGCTGCTCCACTTTAATTCTCACTGATCCCTCTTACCATTTGTGTGTGCCCCTCCCCCAGCTTCGGCTCGCTTTTGCTTCCAAAGCCC